GTTTTGCAAGTAGGGTTCTAAGGTAAATCGGAGAAGAAGAAGAAGAGTTTTAAAGGTAAAGAGTAAAAGTTATGAGTAATGAAGAAGTTTACGACAAGAATCCTGGTCATGATTACCTCAAAAACTGGCAAAAATATTTCCCAAATCGTGGGGTAACATGTATTCGGGTAATTAAATGCACAGAGACGTACGTCCTTTCAAGTGTTAAAAACTGTTCAAAAACTTGCCCGCTAAGGAAAGAAGTTTCCTCTACTTCCCGGTGACCCTAAAGTATGTCACCGAAAAGTAGGGGGACTATCCGTATATGGTAAAATTAGTTAGTGACAGTTGGACGAATGAAGAGGTGACATGTGGAGCTGAAGACAGGTATGATGTGAGTCAACAAATAATCGATACCAGTTGCAAGCATGTGACTGGTGTTGGATGAATCCCGAAGACAAAGTAGCCATGACAAAGATTCAAAAAATTGACATCAGGTAGCATTCAATGAGCAACCGTTACAGAGAATATCTGTATTTATAGCCAACCGTTATGCAGCCATCAATGACAGTTTTATTCTCATTCAAGAGGAGCTTGATTTGAGAATCTTGTCTCCCTAAATAGAGTTATAAATAGGAGAATTAGCATTCATTGTAGACACGAAAAATATTTTGTACAAAAAGACTATATTATGCTCTCAAATTATAAAAATTACTTGCTTTCTTTTATTCTTAATATTGCTTCCGGAGAAGTTCATCATACCAACATGCTTGTATTTCTTTAAGTATTTTTTTTTTTGTATTTCTTTAAGTTTTTTTTTACATTCTTGATTTTATTTTCGTTTTTTCATATTTTTGGATCAAGTTAATTCACGTCTATAAACTATGTTACAAATTCAATTATAGCATTTTACGAGTAAACAAGTAATCTATAAACCACATTACAAATTCAACTATACCGTTTTACGGAAAAACAAATACTAAATCCAGCGGGTAAATTCAATGATTCATGACATGTTGAAATATATAATTAATGAATTCTTTTTAGTGAAGTACCTAACTGTTAATTAGCCCCATAACGTTATCAGCTTATCTGCGTATTCATGCATATCAGGAAAAAATTGAGACTTGTCTGAATATTGCAGTTATTAATATCCTTATTAATCATACCGAGGGTGAGCAATTTTAAAAAAATCGTCTTGTCCTACATTGATGCGGCTGTTTGTTTCACGGATCGAAATACGTACTCAAGGATATCACATTACCTCATAAGTAGGAGCACACTATATTAAAATGAGTGCATTCTACCGTGATGAATGGGAGAAAATACATAAGATGCACTCTATATTTATCCGGAAAAATTAGTTTCATACTTAATCTTTACGAGTGTCCTACCATCTCTCTATTATTGTCCAAAGTGAATTTAATACCTCTCAAAGCTGATCTGACAAAGAATATATTATCACATTCCTATATGAGAGTCAAGGCAAAAAAAATTAAAAGATGATTAAACTATTCTATTGTTATCTTTCAATTGGATGTTATCAACTAATTACACTTAAACCTTTGTTCTTAATATTTTTGCATTGTTTATTTTCTTATTCTTTGTTCTTTTATTTCTTTTTCCTTTTCTTCCTTTTCTGTTCTCCTTTATCTTCTTCCTAGATCGTTAGTTTCGTTTACTCGTTTCCTCTTCTCCTTTCTCTTCTTAATCCCCAGATCTTTTCTCTTCTTTATTTCTTTGTTTTCTTCTTATTCTCAAATCTTAAATCAAACGCTCACACCTAACTCATTGTCGAAACTTCACCTTCCGCTAATCTTCTCTCCCACCTTTTCTTCTCCTTAGTTATTGCTAGTCTACTACTACTCCTTTAATTCTTTCACTGTGTTTCTAAATTAATATTGGGTACATATTTAATTCTACAAATTTTATTATTAAAAGCAACCCAATTTCTATTTTTTCTGTTTTCTCTTCCAATATCTGACACCCATTAGTTCATATTTTTGAGACCTAACAGTAATGCGTTCTTAATTTTAACTCTGAATTTACTGCTTTTTCCACACATAAAAAATAATTCCAATTTGATAATAAAAAGAAGTAAAAGATGATAAAAACTGAAAATAAATGGATTGTATTGTTGATTTTTGAAGCTAGTTGGACGGTCTTCAATGGCAGAAAATGGTTGAAAGAAATTGAACAGTGATTTATTAAAGTTTGTAGTTGATTGAAATCTGAAAATTAGTTTAATTAAAAATGCTCTGGTGGTTGACCTCTGTAGGGAGTTATGAATTGGACAAAAATGGTGAAGGGTGTGAAACTGTTGAGTTTTAGGGATGATGTTTGTTTGGAGTTTTTTGGGAAGGGGTGGTTATTGTTGAAATAGTCTAGGAAAAACAAGTAAAAGTCATGCAAATGACACGTGTCGGCGCGTGTTTACACAACTAAGATAAAATCGGATCAACTTTGAGGGAGGTATTAAATTTAATTTGAACAATATTAGGACATCCGTAAATATTAAATGTGAAATTGACTTTTCGAGATAAGTACAAGGTGCATTTTATGTATTTTCCCAATGAATTGCACCACATGTTTATTCATCAAATTAAAATGGGTGAGAATCATTTACACTATTCAACTTTGCTTTAAAAATTAAACTTCCTCTCAACTTTTAAACAATATATATTCTTCATCTCATTTTTCATTTGGTCCTTATAAATGCCTATTTTCCCTTCTATATTGTTGACAGTTATCTCTTTCTATTTCTTTTTAAATTTTTTAATATCATGATCATTTCTCTTTTCTGAAATATGTATTATGAATTTACTATATTATAACTAAATCGCATTTCTAAAATAAAAACAAAAAGAAAATAGTTACCAAGCATATAGTTAATGGCGTCCAAACGAAAATGATTAGCGGAATAAAAAAGATAAATTGTATTATCAATTTTATTAATAGCAATGAAAACTCAAAAATTTTATTTACACAATTGAGAATGAAAAATTGTAGAAACTAAAAAATATATACTCAATGCAAGTAATACAAAATTTAATTATAAAAGATAGAGATAGATCTTATAGCAAATTGCTAAAAAAATTGGATTGCACAAATAGGACAAAATAAAATTTTCAAGTATATATAAATTGTTAAATCCCCTTAAAATAAGAAAATATATTATTATATTGGTAAAGGGAATTAAAAGATTATTTTAGATCACAAATTCATATCTTAAATATGATATTTTACCTTTTTTATAGAATCCCTTTGTATGAAATTTGTGGCTCCACCTATGAAAATGTAACTTAAATATATACTTAATGCATATTACATTAAGATAACAATCATAAAAAAATAATAGCAATATCATATTAAAATTATAGGTAAAGCCATAAGAAAATATCATATGAGTATATAATAAAAAAGTATTACATAGGAGGGGGGCAAAATAAGTATTGTGTAAGATAAAGTGGCGGAAATATCTACTATTCAATGTTATAGAGAATTTGATTTTTAAAGCAAAGTTGGGACGTGAAAAGGGACATATTAAGAGAGAGTAGAGAAGCATAAGAGAAACTATTTTAATAAAGAACAAATAGATGGACGCACTAAATAATAATAATTTTAAAGTATTCTAAAATAAAAGCAATATAATAAGAACAAAGCAATTACCGATAATAACATGGACAGAGATAAATAGTACGAGCAACAAGGACAAGCAAAGGTTTCTACTTAAGGAAATTTAATAAGAATAGTTGGTTTTACAATTTGTATCTTGATAAGACCTTCAACTTATTTGATAAAACATTTATACTGTAAATTGATTCATAACACAAGTTTTTTTTTCCCTCTTTCTGTTTGTTTTTTGGAGGGGTTGCAAGGGAAAGGGAAGGACATGGGCATATGGCCATGGTGAGTATTTAATCTTACAACTTTCAATACAGAAATTCCTCATTGAAACATTACTCTAGTCCCATTTGGCATTATTACAGGAAGAACGGGTTTCATTTTTCTTTGTGTCATTGTGTGTTTGAATTTAATTTAATAAAAAACAGTTTTGCGTATTAAGAGAATCTTTTAAGAAAATATTCTTCTTTTTTGCGGTGTATATTTGTTGAAAAATAAAAAACAAATCAAAACTAAAATTTGAAATATATAAATTGATTTCTAAATATTATTCAAGTTACCTGTACTGATTGTTTACCCGTAAGACGGTATAGTTGAATTTATACGTGGTTTCTAGACAAATAAATTAATTTGATCCTGAAATAATAAAATAATTAAAAAATTATGCAATACTTAGACTTGAGATGGACACGAAATAACAGAAATAACAGTTCCGAGAACAGGGTTTTCGGGCACAACAATAATGAAATTAAAAAACAAGAAGATAAGATTGTATTAAGCTTTGAATAGAATGTAGCATAAGTTTGTAAGAAAATTCGTGTCCTTTACAATGATAACTGAGCTCGCTATTTATAGCTACGTCTAGGGAAGGAGGTTCTAGGATTGTACGGCCCTTTAATGTCAATTACGAGGGTCATTGATGAAGATGTAACGGTGAACATAAATGCTAATTTTCTGTAACGGGCAATCGTCCTTAATGCCACAGAATATTTTCTATTAAATGCTATCAGACGAAAAGTATTCATCACATCTTTATGGACGTTATTCTTTATGGAACAATTGTCTTTGGTCTTGGTCATCCCCGTCTTGGGTTACATATGTCCCTCTTTTGGTCGACCACGTGTCATACAATATTTTACCATATACACTAATAGCATAATAAAATATTATATCGTAAGTATAATTTAATTTATTATAATATATTACTATCATTTATTATAGGTTAATAATAAACTCTTATTAAATATTGTTAATAATAATTACTTTTTAAATGATATGATTGTATTAATATTATTTCACATAAAACTTAAGCTCTTTTCTAAAAATACAGACATGATACGCTATTTATAACTAAATTATGTCTTTAAAAAATATTTAAAAGAAATTAGAAACATAAAAAGCGGAACCTAAAAGAAGGGCGCTGAGATAGGAGGCTTTTTGGAAAAGCCATTGAAGAAATGGAGTTTGATACTTCTCCGATTAGTCGCTGCTCCAAAGAGCATGAAAAAATCTATCAGCAGTGGTTTAGTTTAGCCGATTCAGGTATTTATCCTCTTTCGTGTTTATATGTGTATGCATTTGGTTTTGGGTTTATTTCACGAATTTTATGTTGAAAACGCGAATTTGTGGTATTTTGTATCAGATGGAGATGGGCGTCTCACTGGAGGCGATGCCATTAAGTTCTTTGCCTTGTCCAATTTGTCACGCCAGGATCTCAAGCAGGTCTCTTTTCTTTGCTACTTTGGGCTGCGTGTTTCTCTTGAACTCGATTACTCGTTCCTTTTTTATTTACTCCCTCTGTTTCAATTTATGTAAACATAGTTTGAATCATTGAATCTTGTCATCTTAAACATGTTGTATCATTTGTGTGTATATAAAACATTAGAAAGTTGTGGCCTTAAATATTTATCATTAGGGGTACAATGGAAATGCATATTGTTTTCAAATATAGAATAAGGAAGTAGTGTCACATAAATTGGAACAGATGGAGTAATTTTTTAGATGACAGTGTCGAGCTAAACTACACTGACTAATAATAGGTTACCTGTTGCTACTTTTCTCTTGACAGATAGAGCAACTCTGCCCCAAAAGCTTAAGCAAATGGGAAAATTAATTCTTTTGCTTACTCCTTTCTGCCAAACAAATTTAGCTGGAGATAGAGAACACCAAAGTTTAGCGTGTTTTCACATTCTGTTCCATCCACCTTTCATTCTTTTGCCGGTGCAGAGAATGGCTTAGAGTGACAGTTTTTGATACTCGAGTATGGCTCATTTGTTGTAGTCCCTTCAAAAGCCAGGTTTTACATGTTTCAATTCTTATAAAATTTAGACTGATGTTCTCTGGATGATTTGTCGTTACCTAATCTTCTATCCTGAATGGTAACCATACAATAATAAACTTGACTAAGGCCTTATTAGTCTTTAATGTTCAGAGTGGAGGATAAGTTCTTAAAGTAGTGTGCTTCTAATTGATCATGTTGTAAACACTAGGTTTTCTGTTCTTCTCTCTTCAGTTTAGTAACTGACTCAATCTGTGTAAAGCTTCTACCATAATTGAATGATGCCAACCAGATTACAAGCTGCCTTTTCATGCAACTTCTTGTTTATGACCTTGAAGGCAGTTTACATTACGTGCTTGATTGGGGCTAATGACACTTTTATGTCTGAAAGTAGATGTGGAGTAAGTCACTAAGTCTTTAAGCATTGTGTTTATGTCTGAAAATTTGAAGCAGGTCTTAGAGCATTTTGTTCTCTGATTCTTAGGTGATGTCATTGCCTGAATGCATATCTGGTATTTTTGTTCAGTTACTGTTGAGATCAAATCCATTCAACTATTCCATTGTACCGTGTCATCCAGATTTTCTGTGATTCTATAGTAGGAATCCCACACAAAGTGAAAGCCGTTAGAATGCTTAAACCAACAATGTTATATTAGAGTGAGTGTATCTCTACGGTCACACATATGCACAAGATGAGCGTCTTAAAAATGCAAATATTAAAATGGATGTGTAGTCATACAAGCTTAGACAAGTTTAAAAAATGATCACATCTAACAAATGCGTAAAAGGCTAAATGAGAGAAGGTTGCATGAAATGATTTGGCCATATCCTATGTAGACTCGACATGAAGCATATAGGTGCATTATGATGACTGGAGTTGATAAAATGGATGAAGTAGAGATAAAATAACATTAAAGGAAGTTATCTCAAAAGCCATACAATCTCCGAAACAGTGTTGATGTAGCTAAGAGCAGAACATAACAAGAGCAAAGGATCCATATAGGCGATATAAACTACTCAAGATTTGAACTAGTTGTTATTGTCCGCTTATGTTAGTCGACCCCAACTAGTTTAAAATTGAAGAACAATTGATTGATTGATATTTTGACTAATTGGGCTTGGAATGCTGAACTTGAGCGTTGTGCTTTGACATCTGTTTTTTCGAAGTGGTGAACCTCTTGCACTGTAGACGGTGGAAAGTATTTGTGTGAATTTCATCTTTACAACTAATAAGAGTAACTCCAATCTGAAAGGCGAATGGAGGATGAAACACGTGGATAAGCTGGTCCTGTTAAATGGGTAATTCTGATTATTGGACCTTCGCTAATCACTTGCAATTTATGTTAACATATCCCGATGAATAGTGAACTGAACTGACCAGTGGATAAAGTGTGTATAATTTGGCAAGCACAGTGATAAGTTGAACTAAATTTGGATGGTGACAAGCCCAAAAGAATTGGATGGCAAAGTAAACCCTCCTCCCTTCTCTTACACCAACAAAACAAACAGATGCTTGCTCTTTTTATTACTTTTAGAGTGTTATGTGGATTATGCCAAATATCCACGGACTATTTGCAGTAGCATTGTATTTTTGTCCACCCCGTGCTACTAAGTTTTATCACGTGTCAGTTTCCACCTAGTACTACTATGATTATGCATTTAATAGCTATTACCAAAATCAGATTTATCCATTCTTTTGTGCCAGTTTTGGTGAATTCTTGTATACTAGCTATTTTTATTTCAATAAATTGTTTTTCTTTTCGTCTTTTCCTAAGGTGTGGGCGATTGCAGATTCCAAACGGCAAGGCTTTCTTGGTTTTAGAGAGTTTATTACTTCAATGCAGGTACTAGTTTATTATGGAGTCGCATTTCAACCTTGTATTTAATTTTAATCCAGCGAAGACTCAGATTCCTTTTTTTTTTTTTGTTTATTTTTTAATATAGTTGGTCTCTTTGGCTCAAGCTGGCCATCCAGTAACCAGTGATCTCTTAAATGCTGAAGGTAACTAGCATACTTTATAAACTTTTTGATTCAAAACTGTAAGCTAGCAACGCCAGTAGTCTCCACAATGCGATCTCTGGCAAACTAGTTGATCCATTTCAATGCCCTGTTTTCACTTTCTTTTGCTGTAGCATTGTGTCATATCCTAATCTTACAATTAGAACAATTTTAATCATGGCAGTTAACTTTGAAAATTTGCAACCCCCTACCTTAGAAGGTCTTGATTTACTTCAAGCTGTAAGTATGCTAGATGTACTTTTTGCATTAGTTTTCATTAATTGTGGGGCTGTTGACTTATGTTTTTATAATACAGAAGAAAAAGCGCGCGCCTAAAAGTGAACCTGAACAGAATGGTAATTTTACTTATCATATTCTTATATCTTCGTTCTTAGTAATTGATGGGAAATTGAGAAGGGAGTTAGATAGATCGCCGTGTCTAACTGATTGGATTACAAAGCAGGCAATCCTACAGTGCAATCTTCCGTTACAGCTAATTGGTTTTCATCATCAACATCTGTAAAGAAGGTGAGTGTGGTTACTCTTCTACTTTATTTATAAGCTCTAAGACATCATGCAACTTGGAATACCTGCCACTTGCTCTCTCCATCCCAAATTATATGACAGATTTACGACAGATGTTCTTATCGGGACTTCTTAAAATGATTGACACACTTCTTATGTAATACTTTTTTATATAACTTTCACAAGTTACTCATATAAATTCATTTAGTTATCTCAAATTTAAATCATATCAAATATTCTCCCTTCAAGTCAATTTGTTAATAAGCATCTTTTGTCCTGATCCATTAATGAGATAGTTGTTCAATTGATGTTGTGAACTAATTGTTGAAATGTACTTTCCTTACCTTATCAAAATAGAAAATATACTTTTCTTTAACTCCCCCTAATACATCCTATAGCATATCATTGCGTGTTTATTGCTAAAGTTTCTATGTTTGCTCTTCAATGAGGCTTGGTTCTTTTTATCAACCCTCAGGTCTCTTTAACCTCCGTCACATCCATAATCGATGGACTGAAGAAGTTATACATCCAAAAACTAAAGCCTCTGGAAGTCGCATATCGCTTTAATGATTTCGTCTCTCCATTCTTGGTAGGTGGTTTATTTCATAATTGTTGTGCTTATTTTCAAGAAAAAGAAGAACTTCTCGCTTATATGTCTTCCATTTAACTATGGTTTTCTTTGTCCTGATTTATGGAAAAGTGACACAGAAGCCACTGACTGCTTTCCTTAATATGCTGTGTGTTGGTAGACAAATAGTGATTTTGATGCCAAACCAATGGTGATGCTTTTGGGTCAATACTCAACCGGTAAAACAACATTCATTAAGCATTTACTTAGAACTAGCTATCCAGGTTAGCTAAACTCTTTATTCTTGTGTATATGCTCTTGTTTGTGCATTCATAGCTTTGTGTTGATACTTTGCTCCTTGTTTTCTATAGGTGCTCATATCGGGCCAGAGCCTACCACCGACAGATTTGTGGTTGTCATGGTATTTTCATTTAACTTTATTGGACAGATTTGTCGTTTTCATGGTATTTCACTTATCTTTTTTTTCTGCTCACCATTGTGGTCACTTGTTTACTGTCCTTTTTGGATTATGTTGCTGAACAATAAGAGAACATATGCTTTCTCCCTGAGTTGAATGCCTTTCTTTCCATCTGAAATTGTGCCAAAAATAGTGTGCACTAACTTGACAAAGATGGCTTTTCAATTTATTATGTTTATCTTATTGCGGATATATCTTTTAACCTTTCTGTCCTAGCACATATTTCTATTTATCATATCAATGAGAGAATAATTTGCCACAGTTTTTCTCAAATATGATTATTATAAACCAAGACATTTAGTTGGAAAGGAGAAGGCTATACCAATGCCATGCATGTTTGTTAATGACTTTATCAAATATGATTGTTATGCTAAATCTTTTGTTGGATTGGTGTTCGGTTTTGACTGTATTATGCAGAATGGACCTGATGAAAGGAGTATTCCGGGGAACACAATTGCTGTTCAGGCAGATATGCCATTTAGCGGTCTGACAACTTTTGGAACTGCTTTTTTGTCAAAATTTGAGTGTTCTCAAATGCCTCATCCTGTGAGTTATGCTTCTCCTTCGTCTCATAGATAAAATGATCAGAGCTGTCACAAAATTTCACGAAACTCTGGGCATTTCCCCCCAACTTTTCCCTCTTTATTATGTTAGCTATTGGAGCACATCACGTTTGTGGATACTCCTGGAGTTCTATCTGGCGAAAAGCAACGAACACAAAGGAGCTATGATTTTACCGGTGTGACATCTTGGTTTGCTTCTAAGTGTGATCTCATTCTTCTTTTGTTTGATCCCCACAAACTTGATATAAGTGATGAATTCAAACGTGTGATTGCGTCTCTTCGAGGCCATGATGATAAGATACGAGTGGTTTTGAACAAGGCTGACCAAGTTGATACTCAACAAGTAAGGCAGGAACATTTTGGTTACTTTATGATTTCCACCTGTTTCTGAACTTCACTAGAATTTGATTTCATTGTTGGTGTCAACTGCAGCTTATGAGGGTTTATGGAGCATTGATGTGGTCACTAGGGAAGGTNATACTCAACCTATCGGACGCGTGTTTTCCTCTCATGCTTGAGGCGTAGGTATAACATGCATGCTCTGGAATCAGATATCTAATATGGATGTCCATTTCCTATGTTGTTTGTATATATGCATAATGTTGAGTCTTCTATGTTGTAGCCGTTTAGATATCGATGATTACAAACTTTTATCACTTTTTGGAGTTCCACAAAAATGTGGTGTTTTGGCTTCTACAGATCATTCAATGACAAACCAATAAATGAGGCTGCTACAGGGCCAGTTGGAAAAGAACTTTTTGAAAAGGAGCAAGATGATCTTCTTACAGATTTGAAAAACATACCAAAGAAGGCTTGTGATCGTCGTGTAAGTTCAGTCTTCATTATGGAGTCATATTTTACTGCTCATATATTGTGCATCCAATTTGCTTGAAATGAGGATAATAAACTGGCTATATTTTGTGCAGATAAATGAGTTTGTAAAACGTGCTAGAGCTGCCAAGATACATTCTTATATTATCAGTCACCTGAAAAAGGAGATGCCTGCAATGATAGGCAAAGCCAAGACACAGCAAAAACTAATTGATAACTTGGAAGATCAATTTGTAAAGGTCTGTCTCACGCTCTTTCTCTGTTGTGCGTCTCAAATCTACATACATATGTGCTCAGCATGCATGCGTGCTGAGCACCAACAAGCAATTTCATGGTCTTCTGACATGATCATTTATGGAGCTTTAGTATTGTGTACTAATATTGAACTCATCAAAACAGGTTCAAAAGGAACACCATCTGCCACCTGGGGATTTTCCTAATGTCGAACACTTCAGGGAAGTTCTGAGTGGTTATAACATTGATAAGTTTGAGAAGTTGAAGCCCAAATTGATACAATCTGTCGATGACATGCTTGGTTATGACATCCCTGAACTTCTCAAGAATTTCAGAAATCCTTATGATTGATGAGGCCCAAAGCTGATATAGTATAGAGTCATTTCTCGCAGACGTGATGTTTATCATAGTGTATCTTGTATTCTTATTCTTATTTTTACTCCCACATTGAGACTTGGGCTTAATAGCGAATACTGAAGCGATACTATCTTTTGGCAATTATATATAGTGGCTTGTAAATATGGATTAAGAATTCTTTATTTTTTGTGTTTTAATTATTTCCATTATTTTTCTCGTTGGTTTCTTAGTTTGTTATTCTTTTCAGGAAATGTCGTCGACCAGGTTTCGTTCAAGACCCCATAAAAAAAAGCATGTGTTGGGAAGTAAAATGAAATGCCTCTATATGAAGATGTCAGAAACAGAAGATGCCTGGGTTGCCAAGTAGTTGTCAGAATAGTAAAAGCAGCAGTTAGGGTAATTACTAATCACAAGCTTTTCTACTAATTACGCTAGTAGAATTTTGTGTAGGCTTAGTGAAAGTATGGAAATATCGAACTCTAAGTTTGGCGGCTACTTCTTAAGCACGAAAGCTACCAATGTGAAAGCATGAAAACTATTGATGTTTAGAGATGAACCAATCTTCTTTCCTGTAATCCAATTGAATTATTTAGTTACTTCCTTAACTATGCTCGAGAGAGCGAGTTGAGAATTGATAAGAATCGACACTTTAGATGGAAACTTAACCCAAGAGAATTCATTAGATGCAATGGAGTTTATTAATTAATCACTCTGGGATTTATGACCTATTGTTTACCGGAAAAATCGGATAATGTTAGATTTGTGTATGGTTCTAAGGATATGCGATACAATTTGATATAAATCGTGTAGAGAAATAGAGATATGTGTATTCTTGACTATGAGAATACAAATAATGAGCAAAAAGAATGAATATGATAAAGTAAAACAAGCACAAAGGGATATCTTTCAATATGAGAAGTGATCTTTTGTTACAGTGTGTCCCTCCTGCTTACAATCCATATCTCTCTTTATAGTAGAGGGATCCTACTTTATATACAATAAAAAATACGTTAGTGGAGAGCCCATGATGTATTGTCTTTTCCTCGATTTTTGCCAAGATGCTCTCCCATAATGCGGTTGCAACGGCCCTAGCCTGCGAGCTCGATACTGGCTCGAACTTGGTGTTGGATCGAGCCCTCGGCCTTGGCCCGAGCTCGATTCTGACTTGGGGTTTAGGTATTCGGGGTGAGTGTTGGTCGGTCCATGCATCTTCGATAATCTCCGCTTTGCCTCGTAGTTCGATTTGGATATGGGCTCGATAATGATATCGAGCTTGTCATTGATCGGTCTTAGAACTCGAAGCTCGCCGCCCTTACTTCGGATCTCGACTGAGCTTGTTATGCATATATACTTTGATCGAAATATTATCGTCTCGATCAGTCCGTACGATTGACTCAAATCGGTTTTGACCGTATACAGATAGTCCCATCGTTTCTCGGAAAAGGATGTGGCGAGAAACAATATGATTTCCCAACAGCTCGATCAGATATATACTGACGTTTTCATCGATCCCGACCATGACGTATGTGATAGCTGTCCCATCGATTCAATTTTACCGAGGCATTTAATGTGTCAGACGGTGGTCGGTCACCTCTGATATTGAACCGTCATTGCTTCAATCTATAAATAGCCTTTCCTTCCACCATTCGTCATTTTTACGTTTTCAATCTTCCAAATTTTGCAAGTTCCTTTTCGTCTTTTCTGAGTTTTCTGCCTGTAAACCTGTGAGTTTTACTGCAAACTCTTCCTTAGAACACTAAATACTTCTGTTCTTTATTTACGAAATTTTAAATGGCAAAAACGTCTAAAACTGTTCCGCAAAAAGAGACCGCTTCTTCATCTCGACCTGCTGGTGGCGAGGATGTGGAAGAGCCCCGCCCTGAGGAATTCGTTCCGGTTGGGTGTTCGACTGTAGGCAATTTTAAAATTGAAAAGCCTTCTCCGAGACCGGGTCGGTGTGAGCCGATGTCGAGGTATCAATATTCAATCACCGAAAAAGTTCTCGATAAAGTCATAAAAGAATGCAACTGGGATAATAAATTCGTAGTAATCCCATCGCCCGATGAATCAATTACTACCTACGTCGAAGGGTTCTTAAGTGTTTATACTTATCCTTTTACGTTGGGACCCCTAAACCCCGTCATCGTTGCCTTTTGTAAGAGGTACGATGTGACCCTCGGCCAAATCCACCCTTCCTTTTGGAGGATAGTGATTCTTCTTCAATTTTTTTCGAGCAAGGTCGAGGGGCGTATCTTCACCCTCGATCATCTTATACGTCTTTACAGTCCCCGACTTTATAGAGGAGGGCTGATCAAGCTTGCTTGCCGAGCAACCAAAGCGCCATTCTCGAGCATAGACGAGACCCAGGATCGGAGTTGGATGTGCCGTTTTGTTCGAATCAGAACCTCGGATCTGATCCCTGCCGATGACTTGCCATTTCCCGAGAAATGGAATATGAGCCGTGAGTAAACGTTTCTTTTTGCCCGTTTTAATTTTGTGATTGCTTTCTATTTTGTTGATCTATTTTTCCTTATCACAGTCGCAGCTCGAATGCCGGAACCGATCCCGGATCTTAGACAATGGGTCGAAAGCCTGGTGTTGCAGAGACCGTACTCCGAGCGTGCTTGGGTTGAATTATCAAAGGGTCGATGGGAGGCCAGCAGTCATGGTAAATCTTTTTGTCGACTGTTTCTTCATCGATTTGTATGGTAAATCTCCCTCTTTCCCTTTGTAGGACTTGGGAAAGATGTAGTCATGAGGCCGCCATCTGGCAGCGAAGAAGTTCCTGTCCTGAAGCAGGTGAAAGAAAGGAAGAGAAAAGACGAATCGGGCTCCCCAACCTCGGAAAAGAAGAAACCGGCTAAGAGATCTCGAAAGCCGAAGGGGGCTCTGGTGTTATGTCTTCGGAAGCGGTCCGCCATTCAAGGGACGAGCCCGAAGAAGGAGAGGAGAATTTAGCCTGCATACGGGCTAATGTTGTGATTCAACAGTCTTCCAATTTGGTAGAAGCAGATCAGGGAACCTTGGCCATAATCCCAGAACAAGAAGAAGCCGAGATTATCCCTTCTCGAGCTAAGATGATTGGAAAAGATACCAAGGGTGGATCTTCTTGGGCAGTAGAAGATATTTCAAGGGATGAGTTCAGGATTGTTGACATTGGCGGATCCCCTCAAATTTCGGATGCCATGATTCGAGAGGCCGTCATGTTGGAGGATCGGTCCTATAAGGGTATTCAGGAGTCGGCCGATATCCATGATTTTCTGGAGGGGCTCGAGTCAAGTGCCTCGGAGGAGGTTACCGGTTTTGGTGGAATGCCGGTATCCAAAAAAACATCGTGGTCGGGTTCCACCGAGCCTTCATCGATTCATAAACTGGTGGACCGATTTCTGGCCCCGAGTATCGATCCCGACCGAAGGCTGAAGATAGTGCTCTCCATACCTGCGGATACCCGAATTTTTTCTTCCCCTGTGGGGGTTGCTAGTTACCTTCGGCCCTTGGTGACCGAAGAAGATCAATTAGTGATGAATGCGGTGGGGCCCGCCTGTCTCTTCAACGAGGCCCAACATGCTTTGAATCGGGTAACTCTGATGGCATTTTCGCCGCTTCTTTTACACAAAGTTACAGGTAATTCTAATGTTTCTCCTTTTGTTTGCAGGCTTCGGTGTTACATCACGATGCCTTTTTTCGAATCAGAGAGGAGCGTGACGCCGAGGTTCGGAGCCTCACTGAGAAGAGTGACTCGTACAAGCTCCTTAGTGAAAAACTTTGAGCAGATTTGACAGCGGCTCGGGAAGAGCATGAGGAGATAGCTGAGCAGGTATTCCGAATGTTCCATGATAGTGAAGATGAAAAAGAGATAACCTCTAACGATTCGATTCTGCAAGTTCGACAGAGGATCGAGCAGATTGGACGGCTTAATTCACAGGTAGATGCGCTACTGGCCGAGGCAGAAGAATTTAAAAGGTGTATGGATAACCTTGCCTCAAAAAAGGAAACCGTCGAAGCTCAGTTGGAGCTGTCAGATGCCCAACTTTGATCTGCGAAAGAAAATGCTTTGGGGCTGATCGAAAAGATGAAAGAGCTTCATCATCGGTTGGATTCGGCCAGTTTAGATAAAGTAGATTTGGCCAAAGAACTCGAAGTGGCCAGATCTGAAGTGGCCGAAGCCAACAAAAGAGCCAATGCCAAAGTGGCTCAGTTCAGGATCGATGTCGAGGTTAATCAAGCCAAAGCTGTGAGCATGGTCGAACATACAAAGTGGCAGGCTAGGAGAGAGGCTCTAGAGGAGGTCAGAGCTCAGGGCTTCGATGTTGGGGCCGAGATTGAAATCGCCAGGGCTGAGGAGAACAAAGCTCAGAGGTTGGCCTTTCCTGAGGAGGACTCCGATGACTCGGGGGAGTCTGAAGATGAGGGCGATGCCGAGAATACGGCCTCCGATGAAGATTGAGTCATTTAGGGCCTTAGGTTGATCATTGTGTTCTTTTGATACCACTTTCGATTTTTGTATAAAGAACCTCCTTTTGGAAGAGTAGCCGCCTCTGTACAAAAAATTTGTAAATATAAATCTTTCTTCTTTTTGAAGAAAAATAGCCTTTCAAACTAAATAGATAGTTTGAATTTAAATCTCTGTTGCCTTCGGGCCTTGTTAGTAGTTTTACTCGAAATCGAAATAAAAGTGGCCCGTAGGCTAAGTAGTTGAGTGAATGATTCGAACTCGATGCAATGTAGCCCGTAAGCATAATAGTCGAGTGAGTGCTTGCTCGAACTCGAAATAAAAGTAGCCCGTAGGCTTAGTGGTCGAGTGAATGATTCGAACTCGAAATAACGTAGCCCGTAGGCGTATTGGTCAAAGTAACCCATAGGCTTAATGGTCGAGTGAGCGATTGCTCGAACTCGAAATAAAAGCAGCCTGTAGGCTTAACAGCCGAGTGAATGATTCGAACTCGATGCAATGTAGCCCGTAGGCGTAAAGGTTGAGTGAGTGCTTGCTCGAACTCGAAAAAAAAGTAGCCCGTAGGCTTAGCAGGCGAGTGAATGATTCGAACTCAATGCAATGTAGCCCGTAGGCGTAATAGTCGAGTGAGTGCTTGCTCAAACTCGAAATAAACGTAGCCCGTAGGCTTAGCAGTCGAGTGAATGATTCGAACTCGATGCAATGTAGCCCGTAGGTATAATAGTTGAGTGAGTGCTTGCTCGAACTCGAAATAAACGTAGCCC